ATTATTTTGGATTTCACACCTCCGCTATCAACTAGTTGCCTTGACGATTTGCAATGAAGCCATAAAATATATTTCGGACTGTGGAGAATTTATGGTTTTGCGTAGGCTTTACCAAGGGAACAAAAATAGTACGCCAATAACAATGAGGTTAATCTATGTAATGATTGTTTATTTTATGAGTGACATAATTATCAACTTCAGTGGTCCGGCTTCGTTATTTAGAATTGTGTAGCCTACCAAATCAACTCAGTAAGCGTTCTTCTTTTTCCAGCAAATTAAACATTAAATGAGGGGTGTGCGATGGACCTACATCCACGTGGTGCAGCCTAGGCAACGTATACTCATACGGTAAAAAGGTCTATCTACTGGCAGTTGACTTCTGACCTCAAGCTACAGTGGTCCCACTGTATGCCATATTCTACCACTTCCACAGTAATCATCTCTCTTTTTCCCTATCTTTATGTCTGTCTATGTCTTTTGGATCTTTGAATCTCTCTTCTGCTCACCCCTCGAATTTTTCCCACTCTGATGTTACTCCCATCTGGGAAGCCTGAAGTCAACTTAGGGGCTAATGATAACTATTGAAAAGCCTGCCATTTGATATAAATAAATAAACATTAAATGAAATAAATGTAATTGATAAGAGGGAGAATAATTCCCGTAAGTAATCTATCGGGCAAATCATGAACTTTGAATTTTAATAATCTTTATTTGTAGAAAATATCTGGCAAGACATTTTTGAAAATCAAATTAAGTAAATTACGTTGGCACACAGAATTAGGTTCTCTCCCTTAACACTTAACGCGATTACTGTTAATCCATATTGGTCAGGATGATATAGCACAAAATGTCTATTATTAGTAAATAATAATTATAAATAACTTACTTTTAGTGACATAAACAGCTAGGAGGCAAACAGAAAGAGGCTTAGGAGCCTTTCGTCTTAGAATGAGCCATCGACCATCCAGAGGATGAGTACAGCGAACAGTGGCTGATGATCCACTATGCTCATCCGAGGTAGTTTTACCGCATTCTTGATAAGAATTCCAGATCAAGCTATTTCCCGACCTGCTGATATGTGCTGAAGTTCCCAGATAGGTTGTCACAAATACTTCCACATTGTCTATTAAAATAATTATGATTATCTATTTTAATATATATATATTTATTTATTATCAACATCTTTACGCGTCATATAAATTGGGAATTGAATATATGTTCAGAAATCAAACATTATTACAAAAATTGGTTAATATGATAATGTTTGAGAACTATAATTATTATTCTCATGGTTTGAAGGAATATAGTTTAGGTATTAATTGAAAAGTTATTGCTGCTTTGGAGCCTGATGATATGTTATATTATGAAAGAAAATTTTAACACTCTAAAACTATTTTTTGCATATACTCGCATCAAGAGCCACAGTAGTATTTTAGATCAAAGAGGCTTTTTAAAATGACTTTCAACAGAGTATGTTTTGAGAATAAATAATCTGTATAAGCTGAATTTAAATTACAAAATATTTTCGAAAGTAGCTGATGATATATTTTGAAATCGGATGAAACTTCATTTAATGTATAAATATGTGTATAATTTTTTTTACTCTATGAAGAAGTAATTAAAGTTCCTGCATGACTTTTCTTTACAGCAACGTGATTATCTGAATTAAACGGAAAAAATAGTTTTTAAAAGACTTTATCATTTGAGGTTCAGAGTAAACAGACCGCAATTATTTATATTGAAAAAAAAACTATTTTCTTTGGAAATAAGTTGAGAAATTATTGCATTTAATGAATAGCACAAAGTTATAACCATTTGTGTTTTTTATAATAAATACGCTGAGAAAATGTATTGTGAGTTGATTTCTATTTTCCATGGAGACTCATTTTAGACTAACAATAAAATTGATTCTGTTGGATATTAATTCCGAGCTATAATTTTCAAAAAAAACATTATTGTGTCATCTGCATAATTTTTCAGGTTGGCGTTTTTTGACTGGCTAATTGAACCTAAGTAATTTATTCCGCTTCTAATAAAAGAAACATTTAGAAAAAATTTATTGAAAATAAACGCATCTTGAAAACTGAAATTTAAAGTAAATGTGAATTTACATTTATAACTTTTAAAGTTAAATTAATAAAATAAAGTAGCCTTAAAAACATAATACTATTCGTTGAAAGAATATTGCTATTACTATTTTAAATATTTTATAAATAGTATTAATATTTTTTAAAAAATCTTTTTATGTATACCTTCCGGGATAAATGTAAGTTAATTATCTACGATACAACTGCAACGTATCCGTTTTCAATACTCTCGTGTTTGTACTTAGTATCTACTAGGCTTTTATAATAATTAATTAATCAATTTTTAACGTCTCCTACCTTTGCCTTATTCTGGAATGATTTCTTAATTTCTTATTTGAAACGCAACTAAAAATTTAACTTCCTGGATTTAGAAATTATTTCACAATTAACATTAATTTTGGAACATCTGAATAAGTGAACCATGGGTGTCAATAAAATTTTATTTGCTTCCCATGTAGAAGAATGAGGATAATAATCTCAATTTTTCGTTAAAGCAATTAAAATTATTCCTCTAAGCTAGCGCACTTTTTACGGTGTGGTGACCTAATATAAGCCTCTTTTCATGAAATACTTTGATCTAAAGCCGATGTTTCGATTTTAGAGCTGATTTGCATAAAAAACTTGCTCGCTTGCAGTGCACAGTTAAGTGGGCAGTTGAAGTTTAACTACCTAATTAAATTATCGGCAATGCTCTACAGTCAAAAGCACTTTTAGGTTTATCGCTTTGATATCTAGTGTGCTTGAACTTGAAAATGGTACAACTGCGAAAAGCATTTTTTCAGAAAACATATTAATGCAGAGGTCATTTTGTGTCTAGGTGAATACCTGAAGTCGCAATGATTCTGTTATCTAGGCATCAGTATTTGTTTTATTGTTCAAAATACGTCAAACTTGTATAAGGTAATAGAAAAGAAAACAGTGTCATGATTAAATAGTTTTTATTTTTATTAGGTGAAAAACATCAAAATAAGGCAATTAATATGACATTAATCAGGTGTTTGTTAGTTGGGATAATCTTTGGAACCTCATGCGTACAATGATATTTTAAAGGTTTGCAAGATTATCTTTCATTATTTAATTCTTTAAAATAATATTTAATGCTTCCATTATATTTTATTTCAAAGCCACCAGTGACTCCAAAAGAATGGCAATTCTGTCTAGTTTTTTTGCATCGGATATAACTTAGCATTTAAAAGTAACTCCTTGCAATAAAAAATTGCAAGACATGAAATTTAAGTAATATAAACTTTTTAATATTTTCAATTTCTACCTGACTTCTATTTTCCTACCATGAGAAATCAAAAAAATACAATCGTTTAAGTTCATGTCAAAATAAGCACATGAGAAAACCACGAAAAAATTCCTCTCCTATGTAAATTTGAAAGTTATTTAAATGTCTATTAGAAGAGTTTTGATTTTAATTTATTATTATTAAAGTAATTAATTCAATCGATGAAAGAGGTATAAACCTTTCAGAATTCTTACCAGATTCTTGGTTTTGACCGGATGCAATATATACTTCCGTAAGATTATGAATTACAGATCCAAGATCGACTACCAACCAATTAAGCATATCCGCATCGAAGGAATTCGGACTGGATCTGAAGCAAGTTGGCTGTTCGTAAAATACTTCCTCATCCGTAGCAAAGTACGAGGCACTGCCTTCTTCCACGGAACTCGCAAACGTTCGGGCATTTTTCGTGTTCAATAAAATGAGCTCTAGACAAATAAGCAATGTTTATTTTACATACACTTCAAGCAAAGGTTAGAAATCAAATCACTGTAAAACCTTCATTCATAAAACTCACCATAATCGACTTTGGACTTAAAGGTTAGATGATAATTGGTTTACCATTGATTTTTAAATTTTAATTCACTAGATTTTATGTAAATATACAATTAACAAATGATTTCTATATTAAATTATTTAAACTTAAAGGAATAGTACTAATGACGCACAAAACACTTGAACATAAAAAACTTTTTCAATTTGGCTAAAAGTTTGTTTAAGCATAATAGTGTTTAGAAATCATGTTCAATTACTTAAAGAAACAAATAAATTATTCCTTAGTCCGATTATTTGACTAATGGAATTGAATTCACAAAATGGGCCAGTGATAATTAAATTCTTCATAACACATGATGTGATAAATTATTAAATATGCCAAATTAATCTTTTCAATTTAGTTGTGCTTTAATTTGTGAATATTTATAAATTAAATACAAAATTCTACTCCCAAATTAATAGGAATGAAATAATCACTGATTGAAAGTTTTGCAATGGCTTTAAAATCAATTTACCAGATGCAGAGATCAATTTTGAGGCGAGATTAAGCAGTAGGAAGATGAGCATAAAAGATGACTTCATGTTGACAAGGCGAGACGGGGATATCAACCTGCACAAAATTTATGCAATCGCCTCCTCTACTTCTACAGCTGTGCTGATATTCGGCCTTGGACATTCATCACAAGCACCAATCACTGTATTCGTGTGTGTTAGTGTGTGCACTCGGCAAAATCATTTTGGCAGAATTCTTTAAAAGAAGAAATGAGTGAATCCAGGTAAAAATTAGCTAGACATGGCACTATTTTAAACAACAAGGTAGGATATTTGACCATTTAGCTTTTTCAAATTGAAACGTTTTGATTGAAAATATCTGAAAGTGAACCGATTTTAAAACCGAGAAGGCTGTTTAACTGAAGCAAATTTCATCCCGTTTCCAAAGGCTTATTTTGCAGAAATTTTCCGCCCTTCTCTACACCAGTAAAATCAAATTTATTTTTCTATTTTTTTAATGAAAGGAAAAGTACATAGATTTGATCAATAACTTCAATTCTCTTACATTTATCTGCACATAGCATTCAATGTCTTTTTTACTAAAAAACGTTTTTTTAAGAAGAAAGTACTCTGGGCCAATCTACATCAATGGCCAGTGGATTATTTGTTTACTCCCAGTTACTGTTATTTTAATAAAGTATTAATAAACACAGCATCAATCATGCTAAATAAATTAATTTCAATTAAGTTTGATAACCGTGATGTGTGTAGGCTAATTACCCGCATCCGTAAATTTTATTATTAGGTTAAATGGGAATGAGTTTTGCCCGCAATTGATTTACGATTTATTCCTAAATATTAATTGCATTGGCATATCATCTAAAAAGCATGATTTGGGTTTTGAATCAGGACAACTAGAACTGTCGACTCTTGAAAAAAGAGTCATCTTTATTTTAAGTAAAACGTTACAAATAAAATGCATGCAATAATGTCCCCTATTCTATAAAACGTATATATTTTTATTTCACTTTCCAAATTGAGATTGATATTTAAAAATGAACCATTGTAGCCATCGCTCAGTTACGATTCCAAAATTGTAAATTTTCTTGCTTTTAGTGAATTGCTTCGAAAAATTTGAATATGCAAATTTGAATCTATTGAAGTTTCTTAGCAGAGCGTAATTTCTCATGATTAAATGCACAATAAAAACTAAACCTAATGGGGCATAAAAGCAATCTAAACCAGCTAGAAAAACATATTAACAACCAGTTGGTTGCAAAGAATTAAAAGATCTGTATTTCATTGAGTATCAGACTTTAATAAGCATGAATATATATGATGAGTGAATGGTTTATTATTATTATTAATGACTTGATTTCGGTTTCTTCAAATCAAATTTTTAAGCCGAAGAAAAGTGCGAATCCATATAATAATATGATTCATATAATTCATAATCACAAATAAATAGTTTATTGGTCATTCAAGTTTATGACGCACAGTTCATTTAGAATAATGAAGGTCATCTGATCCTTATACTTTCGGTTATATAAATACATTTAAACCATCAATCATATTAAACAATAAATTTTGAACATAAAAGTTAAGAATATCTAACACAAAACTGTTTCTTAATGTATTGATTCTATTGAATTTTAATTGCGATTTGAATTAAATACCCCTGATAAACAACCACAATAGACAACTAGCAAATAAATTTCTGGAAGTGCGTTATTAGTGTTTGAATAAACTCTGTTATTCGTGTTCATTACTGTTAAGAGGCAGACAACAGTGCTATACGGACTCTCTTGCGTCACGATGATTTATGCTTGTTTGAAGTTATAAAAATTTTGTGTGAAGGTCATAAACATAACATTTCGCTGACCTATCAGAATTCAGTATAAAAAAAGCAATATTTTGCATTTTTATTTCGATTAATGCATTATTCAAAATTGGCCAAATTTTAATTTCATCAATTTTGGCTTCTAACGGTTTATACATAAAATTTTGGCCAATAAAGTTATTTTTCCATTTAGAAGTTTCAAATTGAAATGATTCTTTAAGTTGTGCCGTTAGCGGTAATATTAATGATAAATTAATCATCTCTCAGCTCGACAGAAGAATCCAACTTTCTGAACAATTGTGAATGAAAATAATCCGTGAAAGATGTATTATTTATTTAATTATTAACGAATAAAGGTGAATTATTAAGTCAGAGGAAACAAGATTGGAAGACAACTGTGATTGCATTTACTGTAGAAAGTGGTTTATACTTGTCAAACAGATTTATCTTTTGCATTTCTACTTTTCTTAAACATTTAGGAAGACGCGCGGATAGGAACACGTCCAAAAGCAAATTTTTTGGCCAATCCAAGATTATAAGTTGAGGTTAAAAATATCTTATGTATATATGTTATTAATATTCAAATTGCATTCACTCTTGCAACAGCAGATTTGGGCCTTTGTTGATAAAATATAGAGCGGTTCCTTTGGTATCGATGATTCTAAGTCAGCTTCAAAACACGGAAAACATTACTTCTCGAATAAGACACAACATTTCTTTCAGAAGTCGGGGTTCTGACTCACGGTTCTTTTAGCCATTTATTTCAACTAGACAAATCGTTATTAGGCCTCAACTTCTTAGACCAATATGCACTTCATTTATCAACACAGGCGGACATGACTTAATTGAAAAACCATCAGCACTACATTCTCTTCACCACAATAACCACTTTCACAGTTGAACTTTGCATCCCTTATGTTTCCAAATTCTGCAACATTTTCTCCAGATTTTATTATTAAATCAAAGATTGGTATAATTAAGAAACCATAGTCTGTGGAATAAAAGGCAAATTGAATAGATTGTGTAACAGTTCATCAATTGCTAATTATTTTAGAAATTTCTAATTTCTTCAATTTGAACGGTTCATTTATATTTAAAATATGATAACGTAATTAAAATGATAATGGTAAATTATCATTTAAAATATATACTCTAAATAGGCATCTGCAACTATATTATTCATTATAAAGCCATTTGAATAAATGCCAAGTGCTTATGGGTTTCTTCAAGAAAGGAGTGAGTTTGTCATAGTAAATATATTTTTATACGAGAAAAACCGCCACGATGGTTCAATATTTATATTAGACCCGCAAAGTGTTTGCCCTTTTATACAGAGCTATCTAAATAATGTCATTCTTTGCAAAAATTAAAGATAGTGAAATTAAATAAGTCCCTGTTACTTCGATCGTAGATCCATGAGGATCAAAATTTCGAAGAGTTAAGGTCGTTCTTATGGCACAAGCATTTCAAAATAACTGAGAAATATTCGAATCCTTTGGTTATTTGTTGTGAGTATGTGGAAATAGTTCCGATGCCAAAATTCATAAATCTAAGTTAACTTAACCACATAGTATTTTTCTATCTATATTAACTCATTATTTGTGCAATATTTTGTGCTATGTCTCTTTTGGTGTTTAAAAATCGCTGCAAAAAGTTGTTAAAGAAAATTTAATCAAAACCATGCATAAGGATAAAAATCAATATAGTGTGCTTAATAATAACCTGTTTGTGAGATGCCGATTTGACATTTGAAGATAAAAATTTCGTTCTAGTAGAATAAAAAATGAAAAAAAAGTTGCCATATTTCGAGCAGTTTTCCTTCAGATGTTTCGTTGCCCTAATTCGATAAAATTATATTAGTGTTTTATGCACACAGTGGGAATAAATTTTCTAGACGTCTAACCTAAAGACAAGACATTTATCAAGCACTGTAACCTTTATCTCGACATTCATTTGGTTATCATCATCTAGCAACATTTATACTTAAGTTCACTCCCTAAATTTTACCAAATGAATTAATAAAATTTGAAATTTATCTCATCATGTATTCAATAAATTACTGTCAATATTTTCTATATGCAGGTGAAGATTTGAAAAATATAATATGTCTCATGAAATATATTTGCACTGAAAAATTTCTAAGCGTGTACTTTCTGCTACTGTCTGACGATTTTTCTTACTTTTTGAAACACAAAAAATCACTTTCAAATGTAAACTTTTCTCCGTCGGATCTTTCGAGAAAAGGTCTTAGCGTTAAATAAATACAACTTTTCTAAATAAATCACTAATGTAATGCTTAGGATCCAACTGTTACTTATCATTACTTTCATAAATGACATATTGTCCGCTAAACACCTCCACATTCAAGACTTTATTTTAAGGGGGATTTATTGACATTAAATAATAGATGATTTTTACAAAAGCCTCTTTTGACTGAATGCTGCTCTCATAAAATTCACCTACGAGAAGAAACAAAGGAGAATTGTAAGTACAAAAGTTAGTACCTAAATAAAATAACTGAACCGAGTAGAAAATAGTAAAATGTGACGCAGTGAACTGCTCAAACAAAATGTCTAATTAAGAAACACTATAAAAAGCTTCCTTTTCATTTTCCATCCCTTATTGCTCATGGACTATAATTATTCCATTTTAATTGCTCAACATCAATTCAATTTCCATACTTCCGTGGATCATAATGAAGATAATAATAATAATAACTAGAGTTATAGTCTAGAAGGGTTAAAAATTTGGGTCATATGCAGTTAGCTTCTATGATGAGATAGCAAGGACTGAACTTGAGTTTTTGTATCAAATAAAATATGTTCCCTTAAATAAATAAATTAGTAAATAAGATCCAAGTATTACTGTGGAATTAAATTAAAAAATTACGATCTAAAGCACACAATAGATTGTGCTTTGCTAATAATTAAATAGTGCAAATAAAATAGCTTTAAATTTAACTGAACATTTATCAATTATTAGATGTATTCAAGAATAATGTTTCAGAATTTCTATCTTTCCTTAGGTTTTTTAAATTCTCCAAGTAGCGACTTTATTGTTTATTTAAGGTTGTTAGTATTTTAAATAATTAATACAGCTCTGCAGCGGAAAGTATTTATTAATTTGAATTAATTTCGTATTGTTGTGGTATGTAGTTAGACAATTTTCGCAATCAGATATAATTGAGCCATGCTGCTTTGTGGGACGAAAAGTTTGAATAATGTTTAAAAAAATCAATTTAAAAACACAT